AACACTAATAAAGAAAGTTTCCGTTTCGGTATTCTGGTCTACAGTGTGGTGAAACATGAGGAGAAGCCTAAAGATTAAAAAACATTGAATTGCTAAAGCATGTCCTCGCCTATGGCAAGGGAACACAAACACGTTTTCGTGTCCCCTACACAAACCTCCATTCTAAACGAATGCAGCAGAATGGAACAGTATGAACCACGCTAATGTTTCAAAAAGTACAGTGACACAAATAAATACATGAACAAATGTGACACCAACATGTCAGACATAGGTATAGATATTAGCACAAGAATAATAAAATAACTACTGCATAAACAAAATTCAACATTTTGACAAGCCAACGTCTTGACCCTTGCCCACGCCAGGCATACAACTGTGGTGCATAAGGCAGTCCACGCTTCCCAATGCCAAGTCACATGACGGGTCAAGGCGACCTTAAGTGTACTATTGGCTAATATGAAGTTAAATAACAATAAATTAAGATTGTAATGTATTATCGTATATCTTAAATAATTCAGGGATTAGTAAACAACATCATTATACAATATTTACACAAATCACTATCCCTCAGTCCTGAGGTACCCAGCACAGGTGAGCAACAGAACCCCCTCATACCTGTGTGCACTGACCACCATGACATTTTCCTTTGTGTCTCGCCACAATAATATGAAATATAACAGACACTTCTGAACAATTTGACTACATGCCAGACAATCTATATATTTTCCATTTCATTTTATTCATTTATTAATATCTTTCTCTCCGTTTTTGCCCCATCCCCTCAGCACAGTTAACCTGGCCTTGAGTTGGCTTTGCTGCTTGGTCCCTGTGGTTTTCATCTCCAAGCTTGCCAAACCAACAATATCCATTGTTGAACTAAAACATCTGTAATAGACTGTGCTAATGTATCATTCAATGAAAACACTTTACCACTACATCCATAGCGTTGTAAGCTGATGCATGGGCAACATTTTACCACTACATCCACAGTGTTATCAGCTGATGCATGAGCAACACTTTACCACTACATCCACAATATCGTCAGATGATGCATGGGCTACACTTTACCACTACATCCACAGTGTCATCAGCTGATGCATGAGCAACACTTTACCACTACATCCACAATGTTGTCAGCTGATGCATGGGCAATACTTTAACACTACATCCACAGTGTCGTCAGCTGATGCGTGGGCAACACTTTACCACTACATCCACCGTGTCGTCAGCTGATGCATGGGTAACACTTTACCACTACATCCACAATGCCATTTGTTTTGGACCATTATCGGTATGCTTTGCCATGTTGAAGGTTCCTGACTAATTCCTAATCATGCTGGAAAATAGCCTGACAGCATTGCAATAAATGTACTAAAATTCGTTCAGTACACGTGTCTCGTCATTTTCTTTGACTCTGGGTGACATTAGTGACTTACATTGCTTGAGCTTAATAATGAGTGTCACATGGCAACACCCACGGTCAATTTTATGACGTTATGGTTGCTTGACGCTGCTATGACCATTCTTTGACATCATATGTTCCAGACAAGAGGGAGTGGTATTTAAAGGTTGTCCTTTAGATAAACTGTCCCCAAAACGAATTGAGAATGCAGACATATTCTAACTATTGCAAAAACTCTTGGTTTAAAGATATATTTTTCTTAGACCTTTTCACATTCTCGGATCAAGTCCACACTTCAACCATAGGTTCTTTCTCATATGCTCTTCTTCGTTTCAGAAAACACTCTTCAAAGATCACGATTACCAATGTTAAAATACCAGTGAAATAGAAAAACAATTATGTTCAAAACAAACTCTGTAATGAAAAATCATTTGGTCACAGCACTAAATGATTACTTTTTAAATAGTCTATGTATTTAGGTACACTGATATCCAATAGATGGCCAAAAGTTCTGAAAAAAAATTAAAATTCAAGAAATGTTATGTAGAGAAAAAAATCGAACACATACAGTAAAAGAAAAACAAACTAGGGAAATATAGTTATTCATAAACAGAGTGGATAATTCATCATACCTTCTTGTTGACATGCGGCTTTACGTTGCTACTTCAACTAGCTGCTGTACTGAATAGGAAGTTTTTCAAATACCTCAGCAAGAATTATAATATAGCACACTTTTAAATCAAAGGATCTAAATGTTGAATTCAGTAATTCAAAGCTATAAAATGTCACCGTCTGTTCCAAATAACACACACGATAAGAAAAAAACCCAACTAATAGCAATTTGTACAATTATCTGTATCACCCTTTGAGATGGCCTTTCCACTCCTACCTTCCATGGAGTGGACAAAGTGATAGAGGCTTCTAGCCAATGTCGCATGTAACCTTCACCTAAGTAAAATTATTAGCACGTGTTCACAGTCTTCTTTATATACTGTTAATGAGAATACCATAAATACAAGTAGAATCCTTGCACGAAAGTTTTCAAAAATATTCCCGACTAAATTGTTATTCAATACTTATAAAAGATGAAATTTGTAGGTATTTTAGATATGGCAAATATAAAATCCACAATATGTTACCAATTATTTTTTGGCCAAATGAAAACATTTATAGTTCACCACAAGAAAAAATGTAGTTGTTTTTTCAAAAAGTTAATAAACTTAAGATATTTCTTGATATCACTACAGTGGAATATCTTCATTTCAGTCATCAAATATATTGAAGCAGAACAAAACCTAAAACTGTGATTTTTATAATTTCTCTTTCTTCTAAATATACGATTACTGAAGATATAGCCAGTTATTTTTACTGTTTTAATGTACTTCTTTATTATCCAGTAGCAACAAGAAATTGCTAAAAACCATGAAATCGAACTGCTATTATTACACCAAGATAGAGCATCCTTTACTATACCTCTTTGCCCAAGTTTAAGAAAAAAATTTAGGCCGTAACTGACTGGATTTTCTAGGACAGATAATTTTACTTGCCCAGTTGAAATAGTTTAGAAATTAATGTAACCTTTTAAAGACCACTATGATAGCTTCAAGAGTACTTGTATTTATTGTAAATCTGCTAAGGCCATCTGCCCTAATTTGAAATAGATCAGATGGAAGGCAGCCAGTTAGCAGCATGCTACTTACTACCCATCCTTAGGATTGACTATCACTCTCACAACACACCTACAGTTTAAAGAAAGGGAGAACATTTTGTGGTATTGCTTGGGTTCAAACCCAGATCACCAGCTCCAAAATTCCAGTGCTTTAACACAGGAGCAGCATGGGGCCCAGCTTTAAGAGACTTGATGAGCATTGCGATTTACTAGCTTTCATAAAACTCAGATTCTTAAATTCATACATCTTAATGTTGTTTTGTCACTAAGTATTTTTTTCTGAATCTCCAATATACGTTAGTGTATCTGCTGGGTTCTTCTCATGCATGCCTCAAAAAGATAACTTTTTCTTCTTTATTTACTAACACTTTCAGTGTGTTTAATATAATATAAATACACGTACATACATTAACAAATAATTTTCTTCACATATCATTTTTCAAATATCTTTGAAATTTATACAAAACTAACAGAAAAACTATTTTTGTTAAGTACAAAATGTATAAGGGTGCATAGACAACTTCAGATCACGAAATTAGCTGTGCATATACAAATCTTCGAAAAGATCTAAGCTTTGAATGTTCAGGTAATCTGAGGATTGTTGAAAAAAATTCTGTTCCTGTCAAAATAGATTTTTTTTGTGTGCCTAAAAAACTTTTGTTTAAAGCTAGCTAACAACATAAACCACACGGTCATATACTTCTTGTACTTGTCCTAATGATAATCTAAAGTATTACTGGTGTTGTTTAAAGATGGTTAACAACATAAACCACACGGTCATATACTTCTCGTACTTGTCCTAATGATAACCTAATGCATTACTGGTATTGTTTAAAGCTAGCTAACAACATAAACCACACGGTCATTTACTTCTCGTACTTGTACTAATGATAACCTAATGCATTACTGGTATTGTTTAAAGCTAGCTAACAACATAAACCACACGGTCATATACTTCTTGTACTTGTCCTAATGGGATAATCTAAAGTATTACTGGTGTTGTTTAAAGCTGGTTAACAACATAAACCACACGGTCATTTACTTCTGGTACTTGTCCTTAGGATAATCTAAAGTATTACTGGTGTTGTTTAAAGCTGGTTAACAACATAAACCACACGGTCATTTACTTCTGGTACTTGTCCTTAGGATAATCTAAAGTATTACTGGTGTTGTTTAAAGCAAGCTAACAACATAAACCACATGGTCGTTTACTTCTAGTACTTGTCCTTAGGATAATCTAAAGTATTACTGGTGTTGTTTAAAGCTGGTTAACAACATAAACCACATGGTCATTTACTTCTAGTACTTGTCCTTAGGATAATCTAAAGTATTACTGGTGTCGTTTAAAACTAGTTAATTAAACAAACCAGATGGTCAGTTGCTCCAAGTACACGTCCTTAGGATAACCTAATGTATTACAAAACCTACTAAATATGCAAACACACTTTTTGTACAATTAAGTAAAAACTTAATAATTTAAGAGTATTTTACTGTCAACATTTTATTCCAGAACATTGTCAAAAAACTAGAAAAAGTATCTGTAAAAAGGCAATATACAGAATAAAACCCTAAAATAATGCAGAGTTTAAAATAAACCACATTAATTAGTAGGTCTATTTTGAAGTTAAAATTATACAGTTCATAATATTGAGACAAAGAAGTACGTGGACATTCAAAAACTGCATAAAACGTTTATCTGTTTCTAGTTACTTTGATCAACTTGACCTTGACATTCTGTTTAACTCGTGAAAACTGTTATCTTTATTTACAGTTGTTTAATTTGCTACTTTGTTCAACTTGAGTTACAAGTACTGTTTAACCATCCAACAACTATTAAGTTGACTTACAGCTGTTATTTTTAAGTTCATATACAGCTGCTGTTCAATGTGAAATGTATGCAGAGCTGTTTTGTAATTAGATCAACAAACGTTTTCAATCATTATTTAATCTGATTTGCAGCTGTTGAATCATTTGACCTACAACAGAAAATTATTCACAATCGCAAACAAAACAGATGGAAAAACATGCTTGGTTTTAAGAACACTCAATAGACAACCTACTCTTAGACTTGGGACATTGGTAATAGTAAATTAATAAGATTGAAAAGCATTATTATGCTCATTTCAAATAAATGACCAAATGAAAAAAGAACCACAGTTTGAATTTCTTGATTAGATTCGTTTTGATAACTATTTTATTTATTTGTAATGGAACACACACACACACAAATAAAATTCTGGTTAATGCAGCTTAGCTAACACCAATGCTTTCTGCTCTGTGCCCTGAAAGAATGCTTCAATAAGCTGTCTTACTACCTCTCCAGTTGAGTTTAATTGCAACAGGTCCTTTCCCATTAGCTCATTAAGAGTTAGTTACAATTCCTAAAACTTGCACCACCTGGGAACATTCTTGTAAACTTGAACTTCAGTTAACGTAGCTTAGCCAACACCGCAGCTCTTCGTTCTGTGTTCTGAAAGAGTGCTCGAATAAGCTGTTTTATTTCCTCTGCAGTAAAGTCTAATGCAACAGGTCCTTTTCCATCAGCCCATCGATCCACTATCTCTCGCATGTTTGCCCCAAGAATCAGTCGCAACTCTTGAAACTTGCGCCATCTAGGGACATTCTTGTGTACTTGCATCACTGATACATCTTCATCTCCTATCTAGCAAAATTTAAAAAACAAAAAGAAAGTTTTAAAAAAGTTATGTAAATAAAAGAGCTACAGTTCACACTTCCAATAAACAATATGAAAAGTTAAAAATGAACGTGTAATGATTCAATGTGCATCGTGTAACAAAGTCCACTAACCAAAACACTAAAATGTTTACCTAGGAAAACTATATTTTGGTTTCACTTGAAATCCATTTTAATTTTTTTCTCAACTTCTCATAAAAATGAATGTTATTACTCAAATACACAACTAACATCACTGGTCCAATTCATACTACCACATCAGTTTCCTTAAAAACCTAATTTTAGCCCACCCACATTTTAGTTCACTCTTCACATTGTGTTAATACACACTTAAAGAAGATGGATGTGTTGAATTACTTTGAAGAGGCCTGGTGCCTGATCAGTGATAATTCCAAAAAGTGACACCAAGTGTATGCCTGCTTCTTCAGATATGTCTTCTAATGCCGTGATATGGACAATTATCTCTTCAAGCACCGAGTTAAGGAGTGTACCCATCACCCGAGAAAACACACTCTCAGGTAGAACATCCTTCCAGACCCGCTGAAGCAGCTGCAGGTGATGGATACACTGTTTAACAGCTCTTTCGGCTGCAGGAAGGTGGCTTATGTCATCAGCAATGTTCTGAAATACTGACAAAAAGGAAAGTTTACCAATAATTAATTCTATGAATGGTTTTTGTCCGTGACATACTTGAAGTAGGCTTACAGGTATAAATGCCAAATTACATGTACTTATTAAAACTATTAACTAAAAAATACATTTTAATTCATACAGAAATAGCTGAAATACATCATAACTTATAGTATGTATAAATATAAAACCAAACATCACATCTTAATTGATACAGAAATAGCCGAAATACATCATAACTTATAGTATGTATAAATATAAAACCAAACATCACATTTTAATTGATACAGAAATAGCTGAAATACATCAGAACTTAGAGTATGTATAAATATAAAACCAAACATCACATTTTAATTGATACAGAAATAGCTGAAATACATCAGAACTTAGAGTATGTATAAATATAAAACCAAACATCACATTTTAATTGAT